GGACTCAAAAAAAGTATATGGGTTTGAAATGCAATATGTCTTACAATCAGGCATTTTGAGAAATTATTATGTAAAACATGGGGCAGCTGACATTTCATTTCATAAAATCATGATTTTAAGGAATTACCTAAATCACTGAAATTCAGTGATAGTACCAAATGAAGCAAAAATTGTTTCTATATCTATCTTGACTATCTTCAGATGTTTCAATCTTCTATGACAAACTACAGTGTCAATGATGGCAAAAATTAGAGGTCAAATAATCACTCTTACACATAGAGCATGGCGATTTATCCTCAATTACAGATCTAATTGGCCTTTGTTGAAAGCCACAGGTATGGCTTGATGCCATGACACTAATAGTACTGGCAATGTTGTCACTTCTATAATAAGTGACTGGTAATTAATGATGAATCTGTGAGTGTTAAAAGTGCAAATTATTACTTTACCAGTTTATTTCCAATGTTTCCTCCAGAATTTCCCTAATATACTTCATGAGTTCTCCAGATACCAAAGCCAATATCGTGGCTAAAGTTGGTATGAGCTGACTAAAACTACTATAAATGGACGATACACATTAGAGACAATCCTTAGCTACCGAGATCAAAATTATTGCTCATAACACCTTTATCAAGAATCACAGTAATTTCATATTTCAGCTGTCTAGACTTGTAAAGACACATCATATAATGCTTACAATAATACCTACCAGTATTTAACGAGAGCAGTGACCTGCAGAGGATTGGGCTGGTCTGGGTATATACTCCGGCAGGCGCCATACAGTGCCTCCAGGCCGGCAGGGATGGGTCCAGACGCCTCACCTGCCGCCCCTGCCACATCCTGGGCTACTTCCTGGCCTGGAACCTGAACTGGTCCTTGTCCTTCTTTCCAGTCCATGGCAAGGCGTTCCTCTCTCTCTGGGCGAGCCGTGGTAAGTCAGGAAACCATAGACACCTAAGTTCCGATGAGAAAAACAACTGTCCTAGAAAAAATTAAACAAAAGAGCATCGCTGTGTGGATCAAAACACACAAATCTTATTATTTAAGACTATTAAGACGATCATTGGACTACTAGGTTCTACTCTTGTTACCTTTCACCCTCGCTCATCTCAAAATAGCTTGGTTTCATGCTGGCTCTATTAATAAATAAAATGGAAATAGTTCGTCTAAATCACCACCGCTAAAGTAGACTAGCCAATTAAAATGTAATAAACTCTCACAATATGACTCTTTTCTCGAAGATTTTCTCACAAATATTTATGAATTTTATGAGCTGTTCAATAAAAAAAACTAGTCTTCCGGTCTTATCTATTATTAGCATGGCAATGCGGAAATAATTGTTAAAGAAATACCAATTTCTGATAAATTCAAAAAAATTCCGAAACTATATTGGCCGGATAGGTTTTGGTTTATGTAATCTTGTGGAGAATATTTTATCAGTTTCATAAAGATGGTAGTTAATAACATCATTAAAAGCGAGTGAATAACAATAAAAATATATACCAATAATCATATCGTTCTTATCAACAGCACTAAAATTATTTTTAAAAAATGATAATAATTATACAAAATACATAAAGGAGCTTAGGAAGTATTAGTAAACGGATGAACAAATGCATGAAAATGAAAATAAAGACAAATCATTGTAGTAGTAGTAGTAGTAGTAGTAGTAGTAGTAGTAGTAGTAGTAGTAGTAGTAGTAGTAGTAGTTGTTTGTTGTTGAGTGTAGTAGTAAGTAGTAGTATGATGGTAACGATGACAATGATGTGATGATAATGGCAGTGAAGATGATAATGATATTGGTGATGATGTAATGATGATGGTGATGAAGACAAAAGCGACGACAGCGATGGATAATGATGGCAATAATGATGATAATGGCAGTAATGGCGATGATAATAATCATAATGAGAGATCATTATCTAGGCCACAAAACACACCCAAACACCACTTTCGAATCGTTTTATTGACGCAAGAATACAATAGAATACTTTTCCCTTTAGACAGAAACCCCAACTACCCATATCGACAATGGTTATACAAAAATAAACTAACACCAGATTCAACTTAAAACAGCACCAGCCTTATTCTGTCCCAATATCAAAATCCCTGAATCCTGAACTTTGCTTATCTCTTCTAAATTATTTTATCGCAATTTCCGGCATCACCTGACGATTAGCTCTAGGCAAACAGGTAACCGACACATCAACTATTGTCATATTTTTTTTTATCGCAATCCTGAATCCTGAACTTTGCTTATCTCTTCTAAATCATTTTATCGCAATTTCCGGACACACCTGACGATTGCTTTTAGGCAAACAGGTAACCGACACATCAACTATTGCCATATTTCTCTCCCATCATTTACCAAAATTCCGAACTACAGTATGAGCCATACGGACACCCACCGCATTCATAGATCAACAGCATAATTCTACAACCCACATGACTCCTACATCCCATCACAACGCAGCCTTACAACCAGGCAGACGCATCGTTC